GGGAAAGAGGACCTTTGTGGGAAATCACTAACAAGAAGGAACATCTGCGACCCCAGGAAAGCCATTTCAAGAGGTAGAAGGGAGAACGGAAGACCCTTCGGTAAGATGAGTCAGCCCGTAAGAGGCAACCCACAGTCCTTTGGAGACTCAGTTTTTGTTTCTCTGTTTAGTGGCTTGTCCCTTTCACCTGGGCTTACCCAGGTCTTGAGCCAACAGGGGGTTTTTGTACCAAGGATCTGTTTTCTTGCTGAAAATGAACCCCTACCCTTCACTTTACATTTCTTTTAATGCACCTGATGGAATTGGTGCCCATACCTGCCCTTCCCCGTCTCTCCAGCACACTCCTCTCTAAGAAGGTAGAATCAAAGTTTTCTTAAGGACAATGCTGTGGGCCTGTTCTGTTGCTCCTGCCTTAGTTCTCTTTCAACCCTGTACATGACTTGTGTTTGCCATCCCTTTGGTCAGTGTCCATCTGCCGATTTGCATCATGAACCGGACAGTGTGTGAGTGGTCACCTACACCCAGCTCCGGGAGCCAAGCTATCTTCCCCATCTCTGGTGCTCTTGTCACCTGTGAAATAGCCCTGTCGAGAGGGCTAGAAACCGACAGAGGAGAGTCCTTCTCGGCAGAGCTCACTGCAGTCAACTGGAATCGGGGTTGCACACTGTGATTTTACACCGAAAAGCCAAAAGGAGCCGGCCACCAGAGCCTAGGGAGACCAGTCTTCCGCAGATCATGCCGAAACCAGCACGATGTGTCACAGAGCCCCACTCGGCCCCTCACAGCGTAGACTCTGAAGGGCCAGCCTTTGAGGAAGAGAGGCGGAGTGGGGCTACCAGCATCCCAGTTGGGAAGCGAGAGGAGCTTGCAGCCAGCAGCCTGGAAGCTGGAAAGACTGGTCTCAGCCAACCTCCTCAGGGCACCCTGGCTTCTCCCCAAGGAGAGGAGGAGTGATGACACCAGCATCGGGAAGAACGGACCACGGGAAGGGCTGGTGTAGATGGACTTCACGTGCAGAAGAGAAGTTCCACCTTCCAGGGAATCGCAACGTTGTGGCGTCTGACTTGTATGTCACATTTGTGTAAAATGGTATATTCTTAAAATAGTGTTGATAACTGGAATATTGTATGTATGCTCGGAGATGCTTTGTGTGAACCTAAGACTGTCACTCAACAGATGTTGGATTGGGGAAAATCCAAAGCACAACTTCAAAATAAAATACATTTTTAGGTTTCGAGGCTGCAGTTCATATCCCTTCCCCGCTCCCTGAAATCTCTGATTCAGGAGTACAGCTGCCTGGGAGGGATTTTGATTTGTCTGTGCTAACACAGTCCTGCCTGGCAACAGAGGATAAATGAGGTGACCTCGGGAACCAAGCACCTTCTCTCTCTCCCACCAAGGCACAGCAGAGTGGCCTTTAGAATGTGGATTCCCCCCACCCCCCGCCCCAGTATCCGTTTAGCCTATGTGTGCAATCTAAGAGGTTTTGCAGAAAGCCTTCCAGCTCACCATTGGACAATCTGTTGCCATGAGAACCATTTCCTTCACAGAATCCACCTTTCCTATTTTCAGCAAGGGCCATATTCATTTCTGTCTCTAGTCAGACTTCCCAGTTTGGTGGACTGGGGTCTGAGAAGTTGCTTGGAAACTTTGCCAGCTGCAATCAAGGGTGACTAGAAGGTCTGTTTTCTTCTTTTGCTTTCTTTTTAAAATTTTGCCCTAAGGCACATGTGTTCACCAGAGATGGAGACAGAGAGAGAAAGGGAAAGTGAGAAAGCACCTTCTGGGTGGGTGGCCATACCACAATCACTTCTTCAATCTCCTCTGGGTCCAGGACTCAAACTGCTTAGCTAGCCAAGTGGGATCCAGCTGCCTTAACTACTGCACCCACCTGCTGCCCCTGGAGGGTCCATTTCTTTCAGAGCCAAAGCCCGAGTCCTGCCTTTGGCAGCCTCCGCCTCTGGAAGGAGAGGGCTTCTACTGATGACGGATGTGCTTGCACTGGGTCGAGGAGGGGGATAGGGCAGATGCTGGGTGATCTTTGGATTTGACTCTAGCAGAGCATACATTCAAGGGCGACGGTATTCAAAGGTCACCCTTAAAATGAATCATCCAGACCTTACATTGAGAGGAGTTATTCCAGTCAGGATAGATCAACTCTCTCACAGCTGACGGGGTGCCCTGGGCTCAGAGAATCCTAGCCCATCGTCCACCAGATGCTGCAGCCTCCTCCCAGGTTTGGCATTACTGTCTGTCATTTGTTTCATCTTTTCCTGAGCTCTCATGCCCTCCCCACCTGTCAGCTCCTCCTCTTCCCGTTTTAATGGAACCTTGGGCTGTTCCAGTTGGGTCTTTTTGCCGAGGCTGTTCTACCCACCGCGGTATGAATGGGTTCTCCCTCCCAGAGTGGAGGTGGAACCCCAGTTTATCTCTGAGATGGAGGCAGTTCTCAGGGTGTGAGCAGAGGACTGAAGAACCTTTTCTGAAGCTAAAGCACTGGATGCTTTTTGGGTCCTCTTCATTTCTTCTCTTATACTCTGATGGGAGCATGATGGAAACTAATGGCAATAAACATAAAAACCAAGCCTAGTCCAGCCAGATAGAAAGCAGAGAAGAAGGGGTAGGTACGGATTTAGGAAACCGTCTTAAGATGATCTCATCTAGGCTGGACCATGGCACAGTGGTTTAGACAGCTGGATTCAACATAGCTGACTACACAATTCAAGCCCCAGACCCGAAGGCTTGGAAGACATACCGGGCATGTGTGTGCATGCCCGAAATCCCAAAAAGGGGGAGATGAAGGAGAAAGAATTATAGTGTGCCCATCCCCCTTGGGGGCTGCTTTCTCACCTCTCTCTCTCTCTCTCTCTCTCTCTCTCTCTCTCTCTCTCTCTCCAGCATGCACACACTCTCTGGCAAATTAAAAAAAAATTTCAATCTAATCTAAATGTTTATACCATAGGTATGTGAGACTTTCTTTTTACTTGAGTTAGCAACCTGCCATGTTACACGTGCCAAAGACTCAATCTTCTAGTCAGTCAACAAGCTTGAAGCCTCTGTCTCTGCTAAGCAACAGTATTAAACAGGAGAAAAAAAGTAATGGAGCTTTCGTTCTAGTCAGGGAGGACAGATAAGCAAAATAAGAGCTACTGTGAAAATGAGACAGTGTAATGAAACGGTGAGTGCCTGGGTTGGTCAAGAAAGGCCATTATGGCAGGAAGGAATATGCAGGAAATCCAGAGTTCTGCTGGGCCGGGTAGTGTTCAGATGACCAAGAGATGTCCAAGTGGAAATATCTATTAGATTCTTCAATATGAATCTGGAGTTTGGGGGAGAGAGCATATTTGAGAAATTAAGGAACTATTACATTATAGGTGTATTCAAACTAGGAGATTCCAGGGAAGAATGTGAGATGGAAAAAAAGAGAAGGTTCCAATCATTAGGAGTTGAGCTGGGGAGAAAGAGCCAGCAAAGAAGAGGGGAGGAGCGAGTGGCTGAGGGATGTGACTGGGAGAGCGTAGGGTCACAGAAACCGAGAGAGGGACGTGTTTAAGGAAGAGAGGGATCAGACGTGGGGCTCGGTAAGGCTGACGGAAAGGTAACTTGGTGACTCCGACAAGCATTTTCAGTAAAGACATGAGTCTCATGGGGCGGGTTGGGCAGCAATGGGAGTGGAAGTGGGGTTAGTAACTTGAATGGGAGCATCAAGAGGAGGCAAGGGACTGAGTTTTTGTTTTTAAGGTGGACAGACTGGCATGTTGGCTTAGTGGGTAGGACCCAACAGAATGGGAAAAATGAATACGCAAGAGAGGGTGGGTTGAGTTCCACAGCCCTTGTAGAAGATTCCCATGGCCATGGGAAGGCACGCATCTGCTCTCTCCTGGGATGTGAGTCAAGTGTGAGTGCAGACACTAGGCAGGCGGTGGGCGTGGGGAGAGAAAGGGAGTTCCCTTCAGACTCTATTATTTCGGTAAAGTGGAAGACCAAGTCTTTAGTGGAGAGTGTGGGAGAGAATGGCACGGGGAGGCTTGCAGAGTCAAGAGAATGAACGGAGTACTTGCTTCTCCATGCTAGGAGAGATGGTGGGGTAGCCCAGGCCCTTTCTTCAGAGGCTCAGAGGCACCTCCCACTGCTTGGAGAGTGGCGCCAAGTCTGCATGTCTGGCCATCCTTCCACACTCAGCTCCTGGCCAGAGCTAGCTGCCACGGGGTAAGGGGCAGGCTCTGACACCTCGTCCCTCTGCTCCATACTTGTGACTGAGTCCAGCAAGGACAC